GACCAACAAGTAGCTATTTCTATACAAAGCAATTTGTTATTAAAACATTAACATCTCTGAATTTTCTAGAGAAAAATAAGACGGGTTCTTGTGAGAGGCTCTTGTGATGAAGAAAATAATTCCATGCATTTTAAAATCTGTATAAGATACTTATAAAATTCAGTTTTATCTAATATATTTAATTTGGCTAAATTGTACTTTTTAAAGAACTCAGTAATTGTGAACTTATCAGGCTTTTCATTTTAAGAATCTATGACTTACTGACTCACCTCACATTTTTGCCAAACTATAATTAAGGACAAACTGATGACATAAGAGTTATGTGTAATAGTGAGTCAATCTCATATAAATGGCTGTACAACTTTTTAATTAAGTCAGATTTCCTTAAATGAGAAATTTACTATCTACGAAATAATAGAATGCCCTAAATGAAAAGACACAGGATGCAAAACAGTCATTCTCTATAGTTTAATGGAATTGTGAAGCAATCCTCCTAAAATGTTCAGCAATTAGAAGTTTCAATATCAGAATTTTGAACATAATTTTGAGCTTTGAAATTTAACTGGTTTTGAGAACTTGGAGAGGTCCCAAAGAAGAGCAATAAAAATGAAACATAGATTAGAAAAGAGACCCTTAAGAGGGAAGGAACAGAATTTAAAAATCAGTCTGTGTGTGATATTTAAGAAAGTTCAGTCTTTATGAGAGATGGAGTGGGATTGAGTCCTATAGCTCATGCTTGAATGACAGAAGGCAATACATCTCAGTTTCTTCTTGAGTCAAGGCAAGAGAGAAGTATAGCTTCTCCTTGCACTGTTTATCTCTCCAACAGGGTCCAGAAAAGCAAGATTAGACCCATGTTATTTCACCAGTGTAATTCCAGAGCCTAGTAAAGTACCCAGTCCATAGTGATGCTCAATAAATGCTTGTTGAATAAAAGGGTGAGCTCTAGACTAGACTACATTCATTTTGGTGACTTATTGAATGCTACATCTTACTCATCCTTAAGCGGAAGAGAAACGTTTCAGGAATCCCTAATACTTACATAGCAAGCCGCAGCTTTTATTCATAAATGTTACTGAAGATATTGAGTAATATGCAGAATAGATGAATAAAGCAATAATAGAACATAATTAGAAGTATATATCAAGATCTTAAAAAGTGAGCTAGAGATTCCACTTCAAAAAAATCAGTCTTACGGAAATAATCCTAAGCACAGAGAAAAACAACTTCCTAGTATGTTGTAGTGTCATTTATAATAATAAAAATCTGGAGGTAGTGTAAAAGTCTGGGTAGAAAAGACATGTCTATGGGGTGAATCATTCAACAGTAGCAAAGACAAGGTACAGGTACAGGCAATAGACGTAACAGATTTCTCACATTCAGGATTGTTTCCAAGGGAACTGTTAAGGTCCGGAAAAACTTGAAAAACTCGAAAAACTCCTAAAAAACACTACACACCTTCCAAATACATAATTTGGGGTTTCCTAGTTGCTGAGGATTATTATGTTTACAAAAACATAAAATGCAAATAAGAATATCTTCTACCAGCTCTTTTTTTCCATGTAAAGCTGTGAAACCAAATAGTCTCTGCTCCTGGAAAGCAACCACCAATTTAATGAAAGACAGAGAGAGAAGATCCCCTCTTCACTAGAGATTTATCTATCTGTAACAAAAGCTAAGGAAGGGGACAAGTTCTGTCTATTAACGCCACTATGTCTAGCTACTCTAACCAAGCTCATAAAAGCTTATTAATGTTAATTCGTGTTGATTATTTTCACATATAGCTTTATCTCCCCCCATTCTTAGGAACTGTTTCAGTTACAAAACCACCAGCTCACAGGAATCATCTTAAATCAAAGATGCTACAGACTTGAAACACACATAAGCATCCCTTCTATCCTCTTTTGCTAATGGATCATAGCACTCTGATTTGCTGAACCCAAAATGGACTCAGAATCCTTCTCAACACAGTATTTAAGGTAGTCACTAGGTACCAATCATAGCTTCTGAGAGATAAGGCTCTTTACCAAACTCGAATTCAATAATAAATCAGGAAATTCATTTCCCTGGTATATTTAAAATTGACTGATTCCCTCATTGGCCAGTCAAAATAAGAGTAAATTGCTCCTTCAGAATCAACAGTATTTAGAAATTCAATATTCATAAACTCTTCTAAAATATTCGACTACTAAGACATTTTTATTTAAAATATGTTTCTATGGAAGCAACTAATGAAATATAAGCAACTAATGAAATATATTACACCAAGAAAATAAAGTGCTCTGTAGTATATACATGTTTTATGTTTTATGTATATTTTCTTTCAAAACGTCACTATTTTCCCTAATAATTGTCAAAACACAATTTAAAAATAACCAGAGTATGATCATCTGGGATGTAGTTCTGAATATGTATAAAAATAATGATTTCTTTCTTTCACATAACTAGGGAAACCTGTATGTGCAGGAAGCCAAGGAACTTTCCTCTTAAAAGATAATTTTAGAAAACTAGGTAGCATGCCACCCAGACTCATTTAAACCCCCCAAACAACATTTGCTATCCCAAGGAATAATGAAAAAATGGACATGAATTTAAAATAAAACCAAACATATAAAACCCCTCAGATATTCCCTGAGCCTTCAAGTGTACAATAACATTTATTTGAAGGTCCCTTACAGGAGCAGCTTTTGGGATCCCCACATTAAGCTAGGCTTAAGGCCTTAAGTGTGCCCAATAGATAAGTATCTGACCAACACACTCATCAGATCTCTCACCACATAAATCTCATCCGGAAGATGCCAGAGCAATATAAACAGGCTCAGGCACAGAAAGAATCCCATTTTCCATATAAAATAGCATCTGCTTTTTCCCATGCTGATTCTGCAAGGCAGTTTATTTACAAATATATAAATAGCTGCAACTTTACTCTCGTCTCATCGAAAAATCAAAATGGCATCATGCAAGAGAAGCATCCTAGCATACTTGGCTCAATGAGTGAAATTAAGTGGAGATGAGCCAAGCCACTTGACACTTGCTAGTCAGCTTAACCAGATATCCTCCAGTTTCTTGTAGTGGAGAAACCAGGGTTCTGCTGCGCAGAGTCAGAGAACTCACTTGCATTGATCATCTGGGATCACAAAGTGCTTTAGAGCCAAAGGTCAAGAAATAAATTTCAAGTTGTACCTAATATTGATTATGATACTTATTTAAGGGGGAATAGCACTGTCTAAATGTGGCACTAAGTTTTCCAATACAACTACTTAAAATTAGCTAAGTCTTCTTATATATACAGGCTCAATGAATTTTAAAAGATTTTCACTCCGATCCTTTAGTTAGCAAGCCAGAATAACAGGAGTTTAAATCATTAGGAAGAGGACAAGATATAAAATGCATCTTAATTTTAGTAAGAGAATTTATTGCCTTTCTTAAATTCATTAAAGTTGTCTGCTAGTAGTTAAGCAACATCTAAACCAATACATATGAAATATATACGAGATACCTATTGACTTTACTGCATATGAAATAACCAAACATGAAACTGCCTTGTCCCGAGGGTTAGTGCTTACACGTGAAACCACCTGAAAGCCACCCATGACAGCAAAGGTCTGTACAGTTACGTCTGCTGAAGTGCCCACCATTATATCCCCCAATAGCAAATCACTTTCTTTAATATTTTTATTTCTTACCAATTAATGAGCTGTTTACTTTTAAGAAATCATATCATTAAGCTAAAATTTTGAAAGTTATCACAAAATAGAAGGCTTAAAAGAAACTTTTCTCACACAAAAAAAAGTGAGTTAGAAACATGGTCTTTTATGGAGCATCTGAGGATAGGCAATGAGATGATTAATTCCACTTCCCTTTGAAAATTCAAATGCTGAGACTCTCAACACCCCTGTCTGGTTTCTTAAATATTAGGCTACCCAACAGGAAGTGAAAACATTTATATATGCTTTCACACAAAAACAGCTGTGCTGCATTTTAAACCAAACAGAATTTTGATTCTTTTTTCATTGCAGTGTATTCACACACTGGAATGTTCATCTAAGATTCAAAGACTAAGTGCCATGGCCATATATGCTATATCTGCCTTTTTGATGACTCAAGCTTTCTGAATTACTTATCCATCCTCCAATTACATATAGCCAAGCATATGGAAATTTATTATTTCCCTGCGTAGTTGCTGACCAATTGTCAGTATTTAAATGTCAAGTGATTCATT